CAGATATGATAGAAAGCATTTAAAAACACTTCCAGATCTCCATAAAAACATAATTTAATAAAAAATTTTATTGCTACATTCGTGTACTTTTATATGTTTATGTTATTTTTTTAAAAATGAAGACAAAAAACTGACAGATAAATTTTGACATTAAGAAGTCTATAATTCAGATATTTAACTTCATTAATCAAGAAAATTGTTATATATTTAAATGTAGAAATAATTTTTGAAATTCTAAATATGAAGAAATGTATATAAAACTTTTCATTAGACGCATTTTTAAATTTCTTAACTTTTGTTTCTCGTCTTTTTTAAAAATTTAAAAAATTGTCTCAAAATATACTAATAGATGGCAGCACAATTCACATTTTCTCATACTTTCTTTCCTAGAAATCCGTTTATCTTTTTCTCCAACGGGGCAAAAAAAAAAAAAAAAATCGCTCAAATAATTTTTTTAAAAGATTTTTCGCTAACATTTTTGGTTGCTAACAATTACTTAAGTCACCTGATGGTAACTTTTATGCAACTTTGAAGTGCTGTAATATACTTTTAGCATTATTGCTTATGTTGTACACTTTGGAGAAATGAGCAGAGATGTTATATCAATGTAAAAATTTAGTTTTAAAGCAAATTTTTAATTGGATTATTGTAATTATTGTATTGTATTATTATTGATTCTCCTTTTGGTATTGGTGTGCATTATGCACTGCTTTCTTAATTAAAAAAACGTTACCAATATTTTCAACGCCTTTTTTCCTCATCTTAAGAAAACAAGTGATTTTCAAAATGATAAAATATAAGCTACTAATTAAAATTTTTTAATGAACTACGATAGCTTGAAATTTAATTTTTATATTACAAAAATAACTGTCATTAAATACTTGTAATTTCAATTGCTTCATAAAATTCAAACTAGCTCGTCAATTTAAGTACAAATATAGTCAGCACTACAGTAAAAACTTAATAAAACTTCATAGGATAATTTTGAAAATATGATGCACATGCAGAGAAAATTGAACCACAAAAATTATGATTAATTCTCTTTATTTTCTTAATAACTCTCGTTCTATTGGGAATATCTTCACCCAATTTCCTTTGAAAGGTTCGCTAAGACTTGCTGTGTTGAATAAAACAAATAAATAAAAAGGTTTTCGAAACCATAAAAGATATAAAAAAGCTTTTTGATAAAAAGTCTCTTCTAATAAAGTTTAATAAAACTTTTTCTCGTATTTTAAATTGCTTAGTAAAATAAAAATAGGTGTTATTGTGCAAGTGCTCGAACAGGAGAGGGATTATAAGAGAATATGATCAAATTCTTATAATGCATTATTTGTAGTATCACTGAAATAGTTGGAATTTAAATTATTGTTTATTAATGTTCCACGATGAAGATAAAGAAGGGCTATTGGTGACAAACATCGTGATTTTGAACCGCAATCAAGTGACGAGGACGACACCTGACTGAGCTGTCATCCCACTCTAAAAATCTCCCCACCATACCACACACACACAATGTGAGGATTCATTAAGCTTATATAGATTTAATATAAACTGGATTTTTTATACGGTGTCTTTTTAGGGGCACAAGACTTGACAGAAAAAAGGTCGGCAACACGGTTTGCGGCCATGATGACTAGGCTATTAGGATGAACCACAAATTGAATATTGAAAAGGATATAATTATTTTTTAAAGAAAGATTTTCCTTGTTGAGTATTTTTAAAAAAAAAAACAAAGAAATAAGGCACATTTAAAAATATTTTAATTTCTTATCAATAACGGGTAAAAATACAGTCGGACCTCTGTATAACGAAGTCGCTAAATAACGAAAAAAAAGTTCGTTATACGGAAAATTCTTTATATAGAGGTTCTTCTTTCAATTTTCTTTATATATATATATATAAACCTCTTAAAACAAATTTTAAGTTCATAAACACTATACATTAAAAAAAAAGTAATTATTCATACCTTTTTGTAAATTAATATATAGTTATTTCATATATCTTAACTATCAAAAAAAAAAGAAAGAAAGAAAGAAAAATTGCACAAGGAACGCTTCTTGACGCCTTTATCCACTTCCTGAAGAATTAAATGTTTTTCTTTGATGTTCAAGTACTTATGTTTTAACATTTTCGAACTATAAGAAACGAAGTTACCAGTACGATGGATCAACACTACAAATGAACGTAGACTATTTCAACACGGGGACACGAGACAACTCCACTGACAGTAAATGAGGATATCGAAGATGTTTACCGTGAACTAGACAATGGGGGCTAAGGGTTACACTTCTTGGATGAAACGCTCAGAATTCTATTGCTCTCGGCAAGTCAGGCATCTAAGAAAATCAGTTCAAGATTTATGATCACCATAAAGTGTGTTAAAAAAGAGAATAATGTTAAATCTCCAGAAATATTTTAAAAATTGGGAGAAAAAAAATTGAAACGCAAGAGAAAAAGTTCATTATATAGAACATGCACTTCGCTATTGTGGGAGGTTATTTTACGAAGAAAATCGTGAAATGTTCTTGGTTCCAGGATAAAGTTCGCCATATAGAAAAATTCGCAGTATAGAAGTTCGTAATATAGAGGTTCGACTTATATCATTTAAGTATAATATAAATCGTTCTATGGTCGCATTTTGCCTCATGCCGCTATATAATTACAGTCTAGCCTCTTACTTATATTTAACCACTCCAATGTGATTTGCTTTAGTTTCTTCGGAGATTCCTTTTGAATTTCAAAATTTAGCAAACACTCTTGTAGCTTTAAGTCAAATTTTGTTTTTGCAGCTGAATGTTGCAAAAAATCTCATTTTTTCTATGTACATTACTATATAAATCACAAGTAACTAACTACCTATGTTAATTATACTTAAAAAAAGTTCAAACTTCTGAGTTTCATTTTAATTTTTATCAGTGAGATTTGTGGAACAGGAACATGAGAAACTTATCATAAAGCTAGATCTACACTAAGAACAATTAAATGCACATAATTACAACTGACATCAATTAAATAGAGATAGCACTAATATCAGGGAATCATTATAATTCATGATGTCATCTACAATTAAAGTTCATTATAGCTTAAAATAATGACTGATTGTAATGACAATTAAATAGCTAAATTAAATAACTTATATTTTGAATAGATTATAATTTAAAAATTTATTTTTATCTAACATTTTATTAATATTTTTTAATCTTTTTCTTCTTTTTGTTTAACTGAAACTACAGTTAAATTTCAGCAGCTTGCTTATACTTTTTCTTATAAAAAAAAAATCGCTTCTATTTTTTTATTTATCATACAAGCAAAACAATATTATATTTTTCATTGAAAATATACTTAATGAAAGGAAAATATATAGAGCCTCAATATTTTAAATAATAATTGGAATTTTAAGTAATATATTGAGAATTTAATACAATGTATACATTTATTTTTTTCTTATACATGTATATTTTTTACTATATTATACGCATACGCGTAATATAGTAATATACTAATGTATCTCTATATATTTCGTTTAATTTTAGTGTAATCTATTGTGATTAGTTCTTTTTCTCGGTCGAAAGAAAAATAAGAGACTTAAAAAAAAACACCGTCCTTTTTTTTTTCGCTATACTTATGATGCTCTTGCAGTTCGTTGGTATATCGCGGCATACCGGTTCAAAATCACTAATCTAGAAAAATATTCTTTTAAATTTATTCTGCATGAAACTTCTATATATATCTACTTTCTATGTTCATATTCTACCCTTTTAGATTAAAAAAATAATACTACAATTGTCATTATTTCAATTTAGTTGTTTTAAGAATAAAATATTTAAATAGGACTATTGCACTTGTTTTTTTTACGCAGAAACTCTAAAACTTTTCAAACATAAAACTTATACCGTTTCCTTCTTTTATCTTTTTAGTTTCATAACAATTCATTCAAGTTTTGTGTAACTTAAACGCTGCTTCCTAAAATTTATACCTTTTATGAATTAAAAATGAAGCAAAAATAGACTTTCTGGTATAACAATAATTGTTGAAAACGAAACGAAAGCTCTTATAATTTTGTTTTTAGCTTTTGGATTGTATAAATAACGCAATCAGATATCACATAAATTTTTAAACAGAAAATCGACTCTAAAAACGTATATATATATATATATAAAAAAATTAAATATTTTCAGTATCCTCCCCGTGTAAAAATGTATAATTTAATATATATTAATAAATCTCCCTATTTCCTAAAAAGTCTTTGAGGTCACGGTAACCTAGCGGTCAAAGTCACGGACTCGTGGCTGGAGTGTCATGAATTCGAGCCAAGTATACCGCTGAAGATCCATCGTGTCGAGGGCCTGATGCACGTAAAATCTCTCAGTGCTCAAACGTCCTCCCGTAGGTGCGGTGTGGAAGTTAAGAGAGAAGGTGCCAACTCAGATGTCGCCCTCGTCACTTGACCGTGATTCAAAATGACGAGGTCCATCACCAAAAGCTCCCCTGTAGCTGAACAGTGCGACGTTAATATTACTCACTCCCCCAAAAAAGACTTGATAACTCTGTACTTTTTAGATATTTAAATTTATATTGCCACGGTAGGTGAGCAATCATAGTCACGATCTCGTGAACAGAATATCATCCGTCAAGCCACAGGTCTGAGTCCTGGTAATTCTTAAAACCCGCCATGTAAAGTGGCTGATGCACGTTAAATCCGTCTGGGTTCAAATATATATATATATATATATATAACCCTTTATTCAATTCCTACTATTAGTTCACACTCTCCTTATATATATATATATATATATCTTGTTCAAGTTTTCAATCGTCAAAAAATATTTTCTATTTATCCATTTAAGTTCAAATACATTTTTTTTAAAACTTGTAGTGGATGACACTAGATGTTAATACAGTTTTTCAAATATTAATTCATTAATTAAATGAATGAATGAATAGTAACAGAAAAAAATAATAGTCCAACATCATATATAAAAAGGAAAATTGCTCATTGTGTTCCAGTAGCGCAATGGGTAGCGCGTTGGATTTCTAATCCAAAAGTCGTGGGTTTGAATCCCACCTAGGACGACCTAATTTCTGAGAATGTGGGGTTTTTTTTACTATACTATTTTATTGGTAATAATTAAATTTAATTAACGAATAAATAGTAACAAACAAAAATAATGGTCCAACACAAGGTATAGAAAGGGAAAGGGAAAATAGCAAGGAAAATCGCTTTCTATTTTGTAACTTAATATTTTGACGGTGTCATATGTATAAACATATTTATATTAATTGTGTAATTATTTAATAAAAAGTAATTAAAATAAAAATTTTCTTTGTTGACCTAAGTAAAAATTGACTTAAAATTTTTTTTTACATTACTTGTGTAATAGTAACCTTATACTTTGTCTCTGCTTTTTAATGGGGGCTAGGGTAGCCCAGTGGTCAAGGTATCGGATCATGGCAGGCACGTCAGGAGTTCGAGCCCAGCACCACTAAAGACCCGCGGTGTAGGGCAGCGATGCACGTTAAATCTATCGAGACCTCAACCGTCCTCGTGTTGGTGTTACTAAGGCCACCTGATCGGCAAAGGCCAGATCAAGGCCCACGAAATTCATCATGACAAAGGGCTAAGTGACGCTTGTCGTTAGCCGTAGCTTTGAGCACCATACAAGTGACAGAACGATTTAGCTCGGTTTCACCCCAATTTAGACGGAGAACACCCTAGTGGTGGTCAGGAGCCTCCCACCTCTCCTCCCGTTCCACCCACCTCACGAGAAGACTTGCGGTTCGACGGCTATTTAAAGTACCCCTATGCCGCGAAGGCACTATACATTTACAAACATCCATGTCTTCTCTGGGATTCGAACCCAGTCCCAACGACACAGCAGTCAACGTCGCTAACCTCTATACCGGATGGGCGACTCTCGTTGGTGTGGTTGGGTAGTTAGGAGAGGGGGGCGCTAGCTCAGGTGTCGTCCACGTTACTTGACCTTGGTTCAAAATTACATTGTCCGTCGTCAAAAGCTGAAGCTTGTGTAGCTGAACAGTGCGACGTTAATATTCACTCACTGCTGTTTAATGATTCCAGCCACATTTTCTTTAAAAAATTTGTCTATCCCAGAGGGAATAGTTTCCTCACGTTGGGGCATTGTGGAAAGGATTGGGTGGAAGCTGTAGTCAAGTGGTCCTGTTCGCGAACTCATAAGTGGCGTTGATGAGTGTTGGTGCCACTGAAGATCCACCGTGTAGAGAGGCTGATGCACGATAAATCTGTCAAGGCTCAAAGTTCTCCCGTTGGCTTGTGTGGCAGCGGTAACTTAGTGGTCAAGGTAACGGACTCGTGGCCAGCGTATAATGATTTCAAGCCTTATACCGTTGAAGACCCAACGAGTAGGGGGACGTTAAACGTCTTCCCGTTAGTGTGGTGTGGAAGTTAGGAGAGGGAGTGCCAGCTTAGGTGTCGTCCTCGTCACTTAACCATGGTTCAAAATGACGAGGTCCGTCGCCACAAACACTTTATACCATGACGTAAATAACTCTCTCTCACCACCCTTACTTGAAGTTGCATTTACTCTTTGTTCCCATTCAAAATATTGCGTCACAGTTTATACAATGCTATCATGGTTTGTATTCAAATTTATAAGAAGTTTTGATAAAAATATATTACATGAGTCCATCTTAAATATTAATAGAAAAATGAAATTTTTAAATATAGATTTTTAGCTTATATATAAGCTAATTTTTATTTCTGTTTTTACTGTTTCTTGAAATTTTTAAATAATTATTTATAATTTCGATATTTTTTCAATAATTATAAGGTACTATTTTTAAATAAAAAAGGAGCTTTCGGTTGGTTGACAGACGGTTCAATGTCCAACTAAGAAACAACACATGGGCTATTAATGACGCAGCTCCTATTTTTGTATCAGGGTCAAGTGATGAGAATAAGACCACCAATGAGACCTCCGTTTGTGTTTCCGAGTACGACATAAATCAAAATCAATTAATCAGGAAGGGGAAGTTTGGTGAGTGTAGGGTTGCCAGCTCAGGTGTCATCATCATTTGACCGTGGTTCAAAAATACAATCAATCAACCCATTTTGATTTTCTTTAATTGAAATGATAAATACGTCTAAGAATCAGATTCAAATGGCCTTTTGAGCTTCAGAAGTTAAATGGAACAAAGTGTAGAAATCCATTGCTATCTTAATAATTGCAATCTTTCATCATAGTCACTATATCATGATTGTGTGTGTCACATATTAAAATAAATTAACTACTGATATCTAGATATGGCAACAAAAGAATTTTGAACGTGTGCGCTAGGGGTCTAAGTATTTTATTTAAATATCGATTAAGATACATCATTTGAATAGATTTTTACAATAATGTTTTATTTTATATAAGACTATATAAGTCAAAAAGTGAAAAAATGTTCACATTCAAACTTTTTACGCTTTCAATGCATTTCAATATTTTTCACAATCTTCTATTCAGTATCAATCAGTCAATAGAAGACGTCCCGTATAATTTACCAATCACCAGACATAGTTCGCAATTCATCAAATCTGAATTCATGATCCATCCGCGACATAATTTGCAATTCATAAGACATTATTCCAAATTCATGAGCCATGATTCGTAATTCATCACCACAAAATCTAGCACCTAAAAGCCATTACAATTTTTCTTTCTTCACTTTTCTCACATGGAGAGAGAATTCTGTTGTCGCTCAGTGGTAGGAGATCGGTGAATCTCTTGGATGGGAAGAAAATAATTTCTTTTTTCATTTCAATACTATTTGAATGAAGTCATAACAATAAATTATTTCGATCGACACATAATATGCAAAAGGGGGGAAACATTTATTCAACATATTTTTCAGACAATTGGTCCTTATGGATACAAATAGGAAGGGGAATTTGAACTACTGGGAATGCATTAACAGAAAAATATTAAAGATAAATTTTTCAGATTTAAATTAACTGTTTTTTCCCTCATTCACGAGATAATTTAATGATGGATAGGTACAACTCTGGAATTACAAACAATTTCATCTCAGAGAAAGCCTTAAAATCTTGGAATTGTTTAATAGGCTGGATGGTTTATTAAGGTGTTTCCAATTTCATCAAGCAGCACCAAGAGTGTGTGTGTGTGTAAGTGTTGATCTCTAACTCTAAACTGCACTCTAAAGCAGTGGTCTTCAAATTGTGTTCCACGGAACCCTGGGGTTCCACGAAACACAGTAAAAAATTGAAATATGTATATATATCTATGTATAAAAATTGATGTTTGTATATATGAAATCGCTTCACTCTTACACCGTTCAATTGATAACTATGAAAATTGGCATGTATGCGTATTTTTTTGTGGAGAAGGTTTTTGTGCTATCCTCTTTGTTGCAAGAGAGCTCCCCACCATCGGGTGCTACAGCATATCACCATCTGCACCGTTCAATCAATCGCCAAATTGCCAACGTGGTCACCAAGAATGATGTCAACTTGCCTCTATCAGCAACATTTCGCTATGTTTCCATTGAATCCCCATTATAATGTAAAGAATGGCATTGCTTCCGAATATTACAATTTTAACATAAAATAAATACAACAGAAAGTTATATTAACGTATTACACATCCAGATATAAATTATTGACACTATTTTAAGCGTTCATTACACAAAATATGTAACAATGTTGCTGAGCAGAGATCAGCACAGGAAGGTGTTTGCAAAATCCGACTCATAAGAGAGTTACGGGGCGTTATAAATAAAAAAAAAACTCTTTTTATCAGCTACTAGATCTAGACTTAAAACTTAACAAATATAGTTTTTTTGTTTAGCTGAGATATGCAAAAAGCTTTTTTTTTCTGCTTAATTTGCAATTCGCGTAAAGTTAACTCATTAAAAACTTTTTTATATCTTTTATCTGTACAGTTAAATTTTTCAATTCACCCGTGCTAATAACGGGTATGGGTATACCAGCGTGTATATATATATTAACAGCGTGTATAATATATATATATTGTATATTAAGGATTTTAAATTACATAGTAATATTTATGATAAAAGAGATGCCTTTAATTTTAGCATTCTTAAAGTGCCTTACTGGAATTCAAATTTATCTATATCTATATATAGAAATATTATTTTTAACTGTATTTATCGTAATAATGTATTAGTTAGCGATAAAGCTAATATATATTTAAATTTTAATAACTTTATTAAGTAATGTATTGAACATGGATGAGAGATATCCTGCTAACTTTCTTTACAATTTTATATTTCTAATAGTTCTCAGTGATAATACAATATGTATTTTAATAACTATTATTGACATGTTTTAATATTAGTATTTTTAATTAATTATACAATTATTCAATAGATGGTGCCACAAGTTGAATAAGTTAATTTTATTATTTAAATATTTCTTGTATATAATCATTTATTTTCTACAAATATTTATATCAATATATATTTATGGTTTTTTTAAACGTACATATATATATATATATAAAATAAAAGTGAAGAAGTACTAGAACCTGCAGTGCTACAGTACTACCTACAGTACGAGGCAAATATATGGACCATCATTTTGTATATTGATTTTTTTTAATTTAATTTTATATATATATACTTTATATTATTCTATCATAATTTATTAACTTTATGCGGTACTGATATTCCTCTGTTGTATTTTGCGGGAAACATAACTAGTTGATATACTACGAAGTAAGTCTTACTATTTACCTTATTGCATTGACTTTTTAAATCTATACTGTGAATACTAGTAGGCTATAATTTTATCGTTATATTTTAATAGTATAGTGATTTTATTTGTAATATTTAAATTTCTCCTAATATTATTCTTTCCTTTCCCCTTGGCACATTGTATAGACAAATTACAGGTGAAGGTTGGCTAGCCCTAAAACTTGTTTAAACCTGCCATCTTGGTTCCTAAGGGCAGGAGTTTGTTATTGTACTACTGTGCCTATTATTTCCTATCTTGAATCTTGAATAGTTATACTTAGGTTCTATATCTATCTGTGTATATATATTTATGGATTATATATATGCAAACATTGTGA